CACGTTAGTAAATCCCCTAACATAGAGAACAAACAAAAGGAGCATTGTATTAGTATACAACTAAGCTGAAGAACAATTATTTCCAAACGCGCCCCGCTAGTAGCAGTGAGACCTTACCTCGCGGCGTCAGTAGCGGTCGATGTCTGCCAGACACGTCTGTGACTGCTGCGTAGCAGTGTCCGCACGGAACTGACCACCGGTAACACCTTGCCAGTACGGGCAGACTGTTATCGGCCGCGATTGATTTGTCACGCCGACCTCGACGGTAGCGCCACGTATTGCCGAGCCGGCACGCGGTACAGCGCTCGGCGACGAGATAGCACTGAAGCGCATGCGCAGAAATGCGTGCACGGAACGATATAGCTGGTGCCTCTGACGTGTGTAAGAATCGCCATATAGGACGTGTTCCTGATCTCGCGCCGTAAAATTGCGCCGCATGCGGACTGCATTCACGTTGGCGGCGCCTTGACGCTAGATCGCAGACTATCCTCTTATAACATGAATAGGGCAGCGGCCGAAACGCGCGAGAGAGAACGTTCTAGCACAGTCGACACTTCGACTTGTCAGAAAAAAAAAGGTGAAAAAGAGAAAAGATAGAAAAAGGTGACGAGATCACGTCCACTGCGTTTCTCCCAGGTTTGTTCAGGATGCTGAACGCCTTCATGAGGGATAAGTAATTTAGACACTGGTTAAATGTGTGCATAGACATTTAATGCTCACGATTGCGGCTATTGGAAAAGGCTAGAGTTTTTGAAAAAGCGCGCGCACGTCCGTGTGTGTATGTGTGCGCGTCTTTTCAATGCGTCTGTGGCGCGGGTTGTTCAAACAAGCCAACATACAAAACAAAATTACAGCCACGGAGTGAATGTTGATGAGTGGGGTGAAGCTTCGAAGGGTTTTATCAGTAAACCGTTAATATCTCTGTCTGTCTGTCTGTCTGTCTGTCTGTCTGTCTGTCTGTCTGTCCGTCCGTCCGTCCGTCCGTCCGCACCTGCTGAATGACTCGTACAACGATCACGAACCAAGAGAGACATGCATGTACAGTATGCTTTACTGTTAAAGGGAACACTCGAATGCACACCATCAATATTCCTGGCCCTCTAAGAGCAAGTGGATGAAGAAACATTCTTCATGCAAGTCAGTAGTCTGTCAAGGGGAATCGGAACTTTCAACCACCCGTAGTCTCATGCATATCTAAGCCGCTATGATTCCGCAAGATAGAGAAATCTAAACATGCTTCTCACGCAGGTTTTCCCTTTAAAAGTGGACCCGTGTGTACACACCCACGGCTTAAGGAGCTTCGCCCCAAAAACATAATTTCCGGCTAAGCGAGTGGTTTGTCGAGTGTTAAATACAAGGCCACGTCTGCCGTGAAAGCAAGGCGTCGAGCGACTAAGCACGAGGGCGTGGATCCGATCCTTGTCGTTTGCTGAGCTCAGCGCGCACGCGCACATTCGAACTTCTTTCCTCGCGCTGCTTTTTCGGCTTCAGTTTACCTGTTCTTTATTTCTGAATTGTGGTAATGGTTGGCGCTTTCTCTCCCAAAACTACGATGTAAATATAAGAAGCACCTAAATAGAGGGCTACGAAAAATTTGACTACCTGGTTTCATTGCTGCGTATACCTCGCGGCAGCCGCATTTTCTATAGAGGCAAGAATTCTTGATGCCCGCGTGCTTAGATTCAGTTGCACGTTATGGAACACCACGTTGTCGAAATTTCCGGAGGCCTCTACTACGGCGTCTTTCAAAATCATACGGTGATTTTGGGACGCTAAACCTCAACGATTATATTATAGTTAACGTGTATATACACAGTCAACACGTTTTATTTACCTTTCAGCCTTATCGAAACACGGCCGGGAATCGAAGCGACGCCCTGGGCTTCATTTGTTTGAATTACTCTTGAACGGCACAAGTGGCCTCCAGCCTTGTGCGCAGAGCTAGGTTCAAACGCCGGGGATGTAGCGCTTAAGAGAAATTGGGGGGGGGGGGGGGGGACAGCGCTAGAACGAATACAAAGAACGAAATAAAGACAGGACAGCACATGCGCTGTTTTCATCTCGTCGTTTGCATTCGCTCGAGCACTGCCTCCCATTGTTCTGCAATACGAACATAAATCAACTCACCCATCTGTCGGCGATTCCGCGATGTAGCGCCAATCTGCTTTGTTCGCTAATAACATTGGCGTGACTCTGCAGCTCCCGAAACGCGAGGAATAGAATAAACTTGGCGGTTCCATACAAATTCTATGGTATCCATCACGCAGTCCGCTTCAGTGGGACACTGGCTATGGTGCCCTGTTGCGGACCCGGGGGTTGCGGGTGTCATTTTTGTACAGACGAACATGCATGCGTTCCTGTATTGCGTGATGTCAGTGCGTGTCAAAAGACCAGATGGACAAAATTTTCCGGCACCCTTGACTAAGGTGTGCCCCACAATCACGTCGCGGTCTCGGAACGTCACATTCAAGATATTTTCATGAAAGATAATGTGCAGTATCATCAAGGCTTTCCGAGGGTGCGTTATTTCCAATCTAAAGGTGGTGGTTGTAAAGGTGGAGGTTGAGGATCCCTTTAAAGAGGCGTGAGCCGGCAGCGAAAACACACTGAAAAAAGGAGTCGAGGAGCCAGTTCCAGAATATAGAACGATGTCTGATTCTATCTATGTTCACATGTGCAAGTGAAGGAGCAGCAGGCGTCACCAACATCGAGCCGCGCAACATCAGGGCGCAACATACGAGCCAGTTGGAGTGTTCCAAGAATGACGTGACACACTGCCTAATAGCTTACAGCGCACTCTGAGATACGGACGAAGCAAGGAGGCACGAAGACAAGCGCTATCTTAACAACTGAATCCCGTTGTCAGACAGGGTTGCCTTCGTGTTTCTCTTCTTCGTCCGTGTCTCAGAGTGCGTTGTCAGCTTTCGTGTACCAACTAGCCCGGTCAAAACCCTCGTGACATACTGCACCTGTATGCTCTCCGTGGTGGAAGGCAGGACGCGGTACTCGCTGCCCGGCTGCGCCATGACGGAGACTCCGCTCCCTCGGTCGTTGTCCGTGGCGCTGACGCCGCCGTCGCAGTCGTCACCGCTTTGCAACGTCGACGACACGGCGAACGGTTGTTTTCGTTGTTGTTGCTGCTGCTGCCGTTGCCAGGAAGCGAATTCTCGCCACGGATCTGCCATGAAGCTTCCGGGACCCAGGTCCTGCTGTGCCTTGCTCACCTTCCGGCTGGTTCTTCATAGCTGGCCCGCACCCACTACCGAACATTGGCCACGAAAGCACACTCTAGACTCTTGATGATAACTACAATAGTACTTGGCAATTAAAACATTTATAAAAATACACACAGAGACAGAAAAAGAAGTAGCAATTTTTATATTCACTAACCTTTAAATTTTGAGCACACTGAACAGCTGTGTTCACCTGACCCGTACAATTTGGAATGCGTGCGCTACATATTAAAGAGTTTTTAACATTACCTCGTGACTCTTTATTAGAGTAAAGATTGATATTGGATGTGTTCAGTGGCTTAACTTATCTCAATGAAAACATTTCGCGACCAACAGATTTCGCATCGTCCTCTTTCGCGTCTCCGCTCTAGACGTGAAGCATTTTTAATCAACATGAATAAATAATCAAGAGCGGTATGTGTTCATGACGAAAAACTGCTTACTCTGATTCATTAAAGAATTTCAAGAATGGAGTTATTATTTGCCCGATTTTTGGCCGGTCCCAGCCAGTGGCTATGCTTCAGTGCACGTGTCTTCCTCGTCATCATCATCGCATCTGTTTGTTGGAGCTGCTTCTCTGGAAATAAATCACTAGTGAGGCCATTCCTGCAAATTAGTGACACGTGCAAGAGGTCACATTCTTTTTTCTCTTTCATGCAGTTCAGGTCATCCGATACTTGGACGGTCTCGGTACCTCATGGAGCGGATTTCAACAATGAGCTTTTTTTTTTCCTTCATGCTCTCCGGTATCCGCTTAGGCAATGTGACGAAACACGAAGCAAACCCAAGAAAAATACTCGAGGGAGCTAGCGCCAAAATGAGTGTGCCGCCACCAGATACCTTAGTAAGGGGTTCCTCCAGTTGTTTTCAGTAAGGGTGGCTGGAGCCCTTATGAATGTTCATGCGCGTGTTTCTAAACGTTCGACTGCATTGTCACGCGTGCTTCTCTGTCCATTTTAACGTAACAGGCCTGTTACTTAAACCATTCTAACGAGCATCTGTGCCCTTGTATAGTTTGCGCGCAATCACTTTTTTTTTGCCTTGCTAGTCATGGTATGGCCAATTTCAGCGAGAACACTGTAGTTTTTGAGTTGCGAGTAAGCACTCGTCCCGCAGTCCTTTGTACGTCTTGCTTCGTGTGCTTGAACCACAGCTGTACCATGCATTTCAACCAATTAGCCCAAGTGTCGATTCTCTCGAAATTGATCCTATGCTCAGGCGCCCTGAAATACGCTGTCATAAAAAGGAGCGTTCGTAGCACCAGAAAACCCCTAAACCACCCATCAGGCTGAATCCGTCATTGTGTTCATAAAACTTCCTATACACTAGAGGGAACTCGGGCGCTAGTGTCTATGGGAGCTGCAACGCACAGCGCTTCAGTGACAGTGGGAAGAATGGGTAATACACGGATTTGTCTCATCTTCGCACTTATGGCTACGTTTGGCTTCGCATGGCTTGGAGCTTCTAGTGACGAAACGAAAATCAACAAATGTTCAGAAGTTTCACTTCACAACCTTGACCTTTTAGGCACCCCAATTCAAATTGGGTCACGAAGCTCACAACAGTTCATCCTTTTATTCCAAATAAAACCAAACACAACAATAGACAAATTTACAAGTTATTTTGAAGCCCGTAAGTACGAAACTAGGCAAATTTATGTACTATACTATATCATTCCTATGGTCGCTGAACGATAGCAGCGCTAAAGACCTCTCTAGTTAATTTTCGAAAACTCTACGATCGTCTTCATTCAGACTGAATCCAATGCATGAGCAGAGATACAAATTTATTTACTTCCACTTTATTGATAGGAGTAGGTGGCGCTGTTGAGCAGGGCGAACGGAATGCCGTCCTTGCCGGTGCAGATGCACACCTCCTTGCAGCCGGCGTCCAGCTGGATGACGTAACAGTCACGTGGACACACCCTGGGCGGGCATTCCTCGCACTGGCACACGGGGCAGCTCCCGCGCGCCATCCGGCGAGTGCACGCCTGGTTCGCCTTGGGCTTGCACGAGAAGCGACCCGTGGCTTGAGAGCAGGGAGCTGCGAGTGATGGGCAATGTTGATGGTTCGGTGTGAGGTCATTTCAGCTGTACAGTAACGCGCAATACACTCGTTATCGCACGAGTGTCGACCGATATACCGAACGTCCCGGTGGCATAGCGGCACGTTTTATAACTGCGATAATCAATATTGCTCATTCTTCTCTGATCGTCCCTACAACCAACGCCTCTTAGATTTCCCGTGCCTGCCAGATTATCGGCGGTCACTTGGGAAGCGGCGGTCGTCGGAACTACGGTGGTGGCGCCACTCAAGTAGGGGTGTCTTCAAATAGGTTTTTACGTTTTTGGAGCTTATATGCAACAAAAATAATGTACAATTTTTTAAAAAGCGTAAACGTAATTATATTTAACCCCACGTAAGTGACGCCGTCATTCAACTTTTTTAATACAAGGCATCCTCTAAAATTAGTAGCAAACGCCAAAATTGCCGATCTCAAAGGCCAAGTACAAAGACCCTTATTCCTACGCAGGCAGCGCCGCCATAGATGACTGGCGTTTCGCGCTCATCCGGCAGGCATGGGAAATCTAGGAGGCGTTGCTACAACAACCTTACACCTCTTCTCTCTGTTTCGAGCCTACCATTCGTTGTGATCAAGAGTATTCTCCGAGGGTTCTTATCTCCGCAAGGGATTCAGAAATTGCTGGGAAAGATATGTTAAAGCCGGTGCTTAGAACTGCTTCGTTTAATCGACTTCCTAGAACGAAAGTGATGGCAGCTTAAGGAACTGCAAAAAAGACTGAGTGAAACTCGTGTGATGGCACCCTCTTCTCGAAAGAGTATACTCTGGGCAGGGTGCTGTTATTCTCTGTCGACGCTCGTGCGATAACCTCCATATTGCGCGTGACTCTACCTTGCCTCAGTACTGTACCTTCCGCACACATGTCTACTCAAAAGTGTGCGCGGAATGGCGGATGCCTTGTGCACTTCTTCAAGATAGTGGATACATGAGTTCCTCGGTACGGCTTTGGGAAGGTAAGTAGCGCACAAGCATGACGCCGACGAGATATAGACTTGACAGACGACGTAGACATGACGTAAACGAGAAGCAGGGTCACCGCCACAGCGCTGTGCCGGCGTGATGTGCTCTCTTGTGTGTATACGCCGTGTTCGTGAGCTGGTTTCTTTGACAACGTCTAGAGACGATTGGGCTTCCGCACTGCTAGACACTTTGTCGGTATGTGTAAGACTTGCGCATATAAAGAAATTCTGCTGTTTTACGTGGGTAAATAAAAAAAAGATACGATTGCAAGACACGTCACAGAAGAATAGTCTGGGTTAGTTATGACCAAATTTCTTTCTTTAACGCGCCCCTAATGTAAGTTTTTTTTAAATATTTCATTATCGAAATGTGGTGAATGTGCTTGGGAATCGAACCCGTGCCCTCGAGCTTTCAAGGACAACACGCCAGCCATTCGGCTAGCTCAGCTGTACCATCGCTAATCGAACTGACATAAAAACATGAGTCGTACCAACGTATAGACGTATGCAGCAGTGTAGTTATAATGCTGTAGTTTTAATCACAAAACTGTTTTATTCTGGGTTCCACCACGACTGCGTGACCTATTTACATCGCGAACATGACGTTGTAAAGTATTTACTAATAGATAGTAAAGAAAAATATTGGCCCCGTATCTGCATGTAATCTGCAAATGTCGTCGAAAGACGATAGTCTAGCGTGTGGAGAGAGTGAACAAAACATTTATTTGATGATCTGCTCAAGAAAATTGGTGAATGGTATTCTGGAGGCGCTGCGTTAGAGTGCCTCGAGCGTGCAGCGGAGGCGAACGAGCGTATATTAAGTCACGTTACACGAGAGACATGCGCGCTATCTGGCAGTTTTCTTGGAAAACGAAACGCGCGGCTCTGAGACGGGCGTGAGCACCTGTATCAGAGGTGATAAAGTGTAAAACGCAAGGCGACGGGTAGGTGCCACTACCGCGTCGTCTCAGCAAAGCGTTGGAAACACTCGCCTTTTCGTGCAAGTGGTGCATGGTCAGCGCAGCGTGATAAGCGCTACGATCCTTAGAATTACTTATGTATGCCTTTTCTAGTAAAATACGCACAAACAGAATATATAAGTCTTGTTATGGTGCCTCATAAATGCGCAATAATTGCTTTTTAATTGACATTCGCACAAGTATGAACACTGAAGCTTGAGGAACATTAGTTGGCGCTGTGGATGGGGTCGCCCGTTTGGCGGTTTGGCGTATCAACCGTTCAGAGTACCCGGTACCGTTAAAGGTGGCCAAACAGACATATGTACAGACAGATAGACATACAGACCGACAGACAGACCAAAATTTTTGCGTCGAAGGTCTCCAAGAAAAACTATCGTCTTCAAAAAACGACAAGGCAATGTTCCGCGGCGGGGCGGCGAACCAGTGACCTCGTGCTCCTCATCGCGTGACGCTAACCGAAATCCCATCAAACGACTCTTTTCCACCAGGCTAACGGTAAGCCATTCATATACACCATGTACCGCTGGCGGTCCTCAAAGGTCGGCACATCGGCGCGTTTTCGTCATCAGCAGCAAGATGGCACGACGAGCGCGCTCTAGATGTCGTTGTGCCGCACCACCCGCGCGTCGATGTGCTCGAATGCCTCCACAAGGCGTGGTCAAAGTGCGTGTAGATCTGATCTAGCGTAGATGTTCGCTGGCGCGCGCGCTTATATCGGAATTCTAACGCCTAGTACCTATTGTGCTTCCACCGCAAGTTTGCTTTGAAGTTACAGTAGTTAAAGAAAGCACGAACGCCACTTCGCTAGCTGCCACGGACGTGTTTACGAAAGGAGCGCACTGCTCACAGACGAAGATGTCACTCATCCAGGTGTATACTTGTGCGTTCATTTTGTACGTCTCTTTCTCTTTGAGCAGCATGCTTTGAGTGTTGAGCTGTGACAGCTGTTTGTCTGCGCTTGTCCTGTGTATGCTCCTTTCATGCGTGCTTTCTGCTTGAGGTTTGCGCAGCCAACGCCTCCTCTAGAAACATGTCTGTGACGTCGCACGCTTTCGCATGGGGAGATGAGATGAAAAACTTTATTATACCTATTGAGCAATAGATCGAACCCCTAGTCCGGGATACCATTGGCTGGCGCCCTGGTCTTTGCGCGGGCCACTAGAACCTCTTGGACCCCCTGGTCCGGGCTAGACAGGGCCGCCTCCCAACCATCTATACTGAAATCCTTAAAGACATCTGTTTTAGATGTGTTTCCCTGGCACTCCCATGCTATATGATAGAGTGGAGCTAGATTAGTGTTGCATAGCCTACACGTTGGTTTCCCACGGGTAAGGGAGGTTCCTTGTAGTCCAGTGCTTTCTCTGCAAGGAGCGCTCGTAAGTGACACTACTACGTCCTCTGGATTCGGAAGTGACGCCATCGCAGAGACACAATCGTGTTGCCTCCGAGACGAGGTAGACAATGCTTTAATCCCGAAGGCGGCAAGGTTTAAAGCGGCCGCCGCAGCGAGTGCTCGCAGCCAACACTGTTTGGGGGAGCGGAGGAGTAGAGAACAAGGAAGAGGGCGGCAGGCACCAGGTCTTCGGCTCAGGCCGCGGGCATCGTTGTAGAGGAGGCGTCAGCGCAGCACGCTTTGTGCGGCTTGCCGTTCTTTGCGTGACTGCATCATTCATTCCTTCGCGCTCATGGTGAATGAATTCACAATGAACGCGAGGACACGTTTCACTTTCGTGTTATACCGATTCCAAAAAAGGGCCGGAAATCAAACACTTTTTTTTTACCGTTACCAAAAAAACATCCGGCGCGGGTGCCTGTACAGCAAGTACACGAGCATGCAGAAAACATGCTAGGTACCTGCTAGGCACCTGTTATATAGCTGGTTGTGTTTGGCTAAACGTTGTTGTAATTGCTTCGAACAGACTTACAGTTCTACTACAGACTTTTTCGTGGTCTAGGAAATGTTTTTAACATGACGTGTGAGGAAAGCAAGTATGCACAGTATTTCTGCGCACATCGAGCAAGTTTAAAAGTGTGGGGATCTTTATAACGACAGTAATGACGATGTCTGAGGTTTACCTCTGGGAAAACTACGACGCTGCGCCATTACGAGGCACACCGCAGTGGAAGACTCCAGACGCTTCGACCATCTGGCGTTCTTTAACGTACACTGACCTCGCACAGTACACAAACCTCCATAATTTCACCTCCTCCAAAATGCGACCACCGCGACCAAAAAAAAAAACAATCTTGGTGTCTGCCTTTTCAGGTTGTACTAGACTCTCGTATGTTCTGTAAAACCTCCGACGTCGGGTTCTATAATTAAAAAAATGACTTCGTGTTTGCAAATTTCGTCTAAAAGTAGGAAGGAACGAAAGAAGATGCGATCGAATTCGAGTCATGTAAAATTTTTACTGCTTCTTATTCACTCCAGGCCACAGAGTACAGCAAGACTAAGTAGGGCGTGCCCGTGGGCTGAACTGCTAGTAATCAAGGCCATAACACATAACGCAATCGTTTATTTGGCTGGATCAAGTTTTCAGCATGTTGTAGATGACTTTATGCTCTCCCGTAGTAGAGTGCCAAGTACTCAAAATCGTTCACCACTTTTTCTACACAGGCGAAGCAATGAACGTGATATGACCCCGGGAAGGCTCCATGCTCCCCATAGTAGAGTACCAGGCGCTCTAAATAGTTAACCCTTTTTTCAAAACCAGCCCCACAGGACGAATCTGGGCCCTCCCATAGTAGAATACCTAGTACTCTAAATCGTTTACCACTATAACAAAACACCACCTGCTTCGAAGCATTCACAACCTCATGAAGTGTGAGGTCCACGGGACGGTTTTCTGCTCTTCCATAGGAGAGTATATCGTACTATATATTGTAAACTTTTTCTACACACACGTCCTCTTTCCTCCGTGGTCCATGAGAGTTTACCGCTCTACGTAGTAGAGCATACATAATACTCCCAATCCTCAAAGATCGTCCACGGGGACTGTTTATGCTGTCCCGTAGTACAGT